GATTAAACCTTCGCAACCTTCTTTAATTATATTCGCTTTAAATATATAATCAACTGTATTAGTAGTATAAACATTATTTCGAACGACTTCAATCCTTATACCCATCTTCCCTCGCGTAATAAAACTCACGCCTTTAATAGCATTATAAATAAAAATATTAAAATTAATAAAAAAAATTACCCGTTGTTTAAGTACCTCTTATAATAATCTAATACTTATTTATATACTATAATAGTTGCTTCGCCTCCATTCTTTATAATACTATTAAATATGTTAACCTCTAAATTAATTTAAACCAAACGATTTTATATATTATTGGTAACTCTAATTACTATATTATAATAACCTTCGCGTCCTTAAAATTTAATAGTATTATCCCTTATAATAAATTCGGTACTTAGTAGGACTATTTTACTAATAATTATAATACTTCTTATACTATAATATATAACTCCTCTACGTCGTTTATTTTTACCCGAATCGATATAGTTTCCTATATTTATAAAAGTATAGTTTTTTAGCGATTTTAATATAACGAAGTCCTATTAACTACTTACATTATTAATAACCGTTTTAATAATAGTATTAATCTTCCTATATAGCCTATTTATTCTATTAGTCGTATAATCAATTTTAACGACTTCGAATTCTACAATACGTAAAAGCAGCGTTAATTCGGCTACTTTACTAAGCATAAACGTAATACTCTCCGTAATCCTATAATTTTAATTAATATTATAAATATTAAACCTTCCCCAATTTATAAAAATCTATACAAGCCCTTCGCTAACGCTATTAAAGTTCGCGCCCATACAGGAAAGATTATTAAGGAGAACTTAGTCGGCAAAGTCTACCTAATTAAAAATATAGTAATTCTTATATTTAATAAAGATTATAAAATATTTAACTTTATAATAAATACAAATTTTTAAAAGCTGTGCGACAAAATGGATACTATTATGTAGGATTACTATAATAAAGTTGAAAAATACGAAAGCAAATTTACTAACCTACGGGCTTTTTTTTAAACCGTATTATATTACAATATAAAAATAGCTTTAAAAAAGCTACTAGATTATACGACGATAATAACCCTATATTCGTTAATTACATCCCTTCCCGCACTTAATTACTCGCCCTCTAATATTATAATTATAAAGGTAATCTTAACGAACAAATTAATAATCTCTTAATATATTTAAAATACTTATACTACACGCAAACTAATATAACTAAAAATAAACGTAATATTATTATTATTATTAATATTTGTATTGAATTTATTAATTATATTAATATTCTTACTAAATTTAAACAAACCTTATTTACTCTATAGAATAATTTAATTAATTCTAACTACTATTAATTAACTATAGTAGAAGGACTACGTAATAAAATAGCTAAAATAAGTAAAGAAATGAAAGAGATACGAATTTAGTACGTTTAATATTAGACTTCTATTCCCCGTAGCCTTTAATCAAGCATATTACTAATTCTTATATTAACCTACTCTATTTACTCTAATATATTACTGTATATTATTCAATCTAATATAATATCCGCCTAATCTACTTCCCGCTTTAATATTTTACTTAGAATCTATTTGCTTTATTACCGAATGCCGGAAATTTAATACATTAAAGAAAATTCCCCTTCTATTAATCGTAAGTATTTTCGTCGTAAAGGTAATACTTTCTTATATTTTAACAAAAACTATCGCGAACTCGAAGAGAATTACAACGTTTATTAACAGCGAGTAATATAATTATTATATAGTATTCTTAGAAATTTTAATTACTAAAATTAGGTATTATAATAATAATTCTAATACATATATAGTATTCTTCTACGAGGGATATAGATATAGTTAAATATTAGATTTAATATTTATAATAATTAAACTTACTAAGATAGATATCAAAATAATAAATAATATTAAAAAGGATAACGATAATCTTCATAATCTATTTATATTTAACGCTCTCATTAATAAATAGTAAGTACTCTTCTCCTTCTTTAGAAGGGAAGATATTAGAAAATATTCCAAGCAGTACCTGAATATTTTCACCCTATCGTAATATATACTAAATTGAATATAGACATACTCATCTAAATATATTACAATATATAAAAGTACTTACCCCGTCGGTCTCTATTAAAATTAACGGATTAATTAATTATTACTTTACAACCTATTATTTATCTTATTTACACTCTATAAAATCGTATATGAGGTTCCAGGTTGAGGCTCTCAATAATTATTATCTTCGCTTCCTTTAATAAAACTATCGCCAATCGTTACGCACTATTGCTCTATCTAGCAACCAATTTCTTACTCTCTTATTCTCTATCAGCATCACTTATAAAGCACATCTTCGCGTAATAATAATTATCTAGACTTTAATATCGAATTAAATCTAACCTTTAATACTTTTAATAGTTATATTAGTATTATCGATAGGACTTATATAGCCGCCTATATACTATTACAATAGTAACTTCGGTATTGCGATCGAAAGGGTAATATTATTTAGAACGTATTTACTACGGTAAAGTTTAATTATACTTTTACGTACGTATTAGCGGGCGTAGAGGGTTTTTTTAATAATATTTCGCTTTCTACTTATATATTTCAGAGAACCTTTTATATATTAGAATTACGCTATTACGTAATAAATACGGGGTTTAGGACGCGGCTAAGTATTATAATTCCTTTTTTAAATATTAAATATTATTTATAAAATTAGAAGAATGCAAATAAGCTATTTGAAATAGCGAAGGAATTATATAATTTATATTACGTTCGTATTTATATTATTATAGAGTAAATCTTTAATTTTATTAAGAGAAGGTAGAAAATTGTAAGGGTTATACCTATTGAATACTCTATAAAGAAGCAAATTTAAATTATTTACGTAGTAATTAGGTTTTATAATTTTTTTATTACGTATTCGAAAAAGGAATTGAGGGTATTAATATAAATAGAAGAGAGGATAATAAAAATAGCGCGTCGGCGAGTAAAATAATTGGTAAGGGGTATTTATTTTAATAATATCCGTTATAATACAGCTTAATTAATAAATAAGTAATAGTAGTCGATTCGTAGAAGGTAAAGGAGGGGAGAGGAAGGAGGGGAGAGGAGGGAAGATAGGGATTCTTATATATAAAATCGAATTATTTGAATAAAATTATAGAAAAATCGAATTATTTGAGTAAAGTTATATAAAATCGAATAATTTGTAAAAATCGAATAATATGTATAAAGATTTCTATATAAAATCGAATATTTAATTTTGTTTACATTTTATTAATATTTTACTAGGATGAAAAAAAATGGTGTTTACTTCTATAATTTTAGTAAAATTATTAGATTTCTAATTTACACCGTTCTTTTTTAGATCCTTCTTTCTAAATCCCTCTTTTCTTTCTATTTATATACGTACCCTTTATTAATTCGCTTAACCTTATTTACATTATTGCGACTAGCGGATTATTTATAAAATAATTAATATATACTATTATCTCTAACTCGGTTATCTTTTTAATAAAGCGCGTTTGCAAATTATTAATAGTAATACTAATATTAATTGTATTAGGAAGTTTAGGAGTTTACAATAAGGTTGCCGCCTTCTCTATCGAATTTCCTAATATTATTATATTAGATTTCTTCTTACTTCCTCCTCCCCTCTTTATATTTACGAATACGATAGCTTAACTAACTAAAATCTTAGTTAGATTAGTAACGAAACGGTATTTTTATACTTAATTTATCGCTAGCGTAGCGGTAGTAGTAGCGGCGGCGGCGCGCCTTCTTAAAATTATTACAAATAATTTAAATTCGTTATTATCCTCCTCCTTATTACCCTCGTTAAATTTCTCCCCGCTAATATTTTATTTATCCTCCTCCACCTCCTCCCTTACTTCTACGTTATTAAATAAATTATTATTGTTTATATTTTCCTTAAAGCTTTAATTAATATTAATATTAAATATAATCTTTTACTATATTTTACTAATTTTAATAATATTAAATGCTATCCCCTTCGTTTTAAAAAAGATTTACTTATATATATCAATATTATTAAAAAAGCTAACGGCGGACCTAATCGATTTTATACGTTTTAATAGTATAATATTTAACGAAAGATTCCTAGTACTTATTTAAAATAATAAGTAATTAAATATTAAGGTCTAAGCTAATATTAAAGTACTTAGAGAAGAGGCTTTACTATATTCTATATCGATATATTTCGACCTTCCACTTACTATTAACGTATTTAAAATCCTAGCGATATTCCGGCTACGTTCCGATATATATTTCGATAAAGTAATCCTATACGTCCCTATAATTTTTAGTATAGGTATTATTAAACTACCCCTTAATTATATAATATAGTAACTACTTTATAAAGGTAGCGGTAATTCTAGGGGTAAACTTTATAAATTTAATATTATCAAATATAAGCGTAGCCTTTTTTACTGGGGCTTTAGGTTTTTTAAGCGCTATTTTATTTGCTAACTTAGTTTATACTTTCCGTTTTACTTTAATTATAAATTAAAATAACGGAGGAGTATTTTATATAGTAGTAATTTAGTTAGCGGGAGGATTAGGTACTAATTCTTAAACTAATTAATTTAATATAATAATTAAGGAGGGGAAGGGAGGCAGCTAATTATTATTACGGCTAGCGGGCACTAGGTTATTAAAAATATTCTAAATAGGCTCTAACAATAAGTCGTCTTCTATTAGACCTAAAGTTAGGGGTTAGGTATAGAATTAAAATAAATCGATACCCTCTATAGTATTAAGAAGCTCTATAAAGTCTTAAAAATCCATAATATCTAGTCGTCTAGTCGATTACTAATATTATTTACTTCCTTTATAATATTACAAGTCATAACGACGACGAACAATAAGGTCAACCCCTCTTTCTAAAAGCAGTGTAGATTCCTGGGCATTAACTATACTAAAAAGGGTTACTCCAGCGCTAATACAGGCACCCCAGTCGACTCCAATTCAAATACCCCCTAAAAAGCAGTACAACTACTAGCTCGCTTGGCTACAGGGCACCAGATTGTACTGAAATATCTGTATGCTCGATGCAAGCACATCCAGCCGATCAGGGCCTTAAGCATGCAGTGAGGGAAGATGGGCTCGCTTTGGCGGCCACTCGGCATCCAACGTCCAAAAGCCCCGCTTCACGTTCGAGGGGCAGGCTCTGGACCAATCAGATTGCTTCAAGGGACTCTTCAACTCTTTCAAGGGCTCATCAAAGTGTGAGTGTCTTCGCCGCGTTCCCAACCTGCTGGTCGCTGTTCCGTGATCTTGTGTCTCTTCGGGAGTCTCTGTGACCAATGGCGAGGTGGTGCAAGATCTGTCTTGAGACCTACCTCTCTCTGCCTCTGACCTCTGTAGCATCGACGATACGATAGCTGAACTGATTCAGGTATGACAGAACGACCCCAACTTGTGTTCAGAAAGAGACAGACCATGATAAAAACTCAAGACATCCCACGAGCCCACCCACTATCAGGAAATTTGCATTTGCTTTATCAAAACCGAGGAAAATTGGCTCGGCCAGAGCATCACCTTCAGACATAGCGTCGCTCCCTGAAACCCATGGAACCGGATTATACACGCAGAGAACCGCATCTGGCACAGTGTTTCTGGCATCCCTCGATCTGTATCGTTTTGGGGCATATCGCGGATGATGCCCTTCTCTCGATTTGGCTTTTTCGTCTGAAGAACTCGAGAGACCGGCCGACGACCCTTTCAATCATCGCATTGTCGATTTGTTCCTCAAGGCTGAAATCACCATCTAGACCTCGCCCACTACCATGATGTGTGACACAGTACCGAGCTTGTCGAGGAGTTTTTCGGCTTCAGGCTTGACCTATATCACCGGCCTTTTAGGGCGTTCCGGGGAAATGATGCCCAGTGCCCCAGTCCAGGTCGAATCGGCACCCGTGTTAACGGACGATGCATGGAAGAAATAAATCCTCCAGAAAATGACGTGAACCGTCATTATAGGGCAATGGTTGGGGATTCCGGAAGTTGAAAAGGCTCAACCGGCCGGCCAAAAGGTCGCTATATTGGCGGAGTCTTATGGAACGTTTGGTATCAACATCCTTGGGGGCACTGCCGGCCGGTTTCCAAATCCGGCGTGGCATGGGCAAGGTGAAAAATGAGTCCTTTTACAACAAACATCCCAGGGCGTTTTTTTGTGCTGGGCTCGGCGGTTAGAGGGGACTGATATTGGTGGTGGTGATGTTCCTAGGTTACTCGGGTATGGTCTCGAAACCGGCTCGCCGGCTTCTTGCCCTTGAACCATACACTCGGGTCCAGATAACGTGCGAACGGTTGTGGGAAAAGGTGTGAACGGGAAAGTAAATCCGGAGGGACCAAGTTCGGGCTTTTGGGACTTCTGATCAGAAAAGAGTTCGTCGCTGCCCTGTGATGGATCCGCAAATTAGTTCTTGACGTTGGTGTGGCCCAACCCTTGATACCAGGGGAACCCATGGCTCATCAAAGCGCCAGGATCTCCACTATAAGAGAGGGTGTTCATCGGTTCTTGGTAGACCTTGCGCGATCCCCAATTCCCCGGATTTCACAAGCAGACAACTCTCCACTTGCACTCCGGGCCAAGTTTGTCAGATGACAAAAGTGTCTTCCGGTTCCGCGGGGAAAGAACAACTCCCAGGAATTGTGATATCCGGACTGTTGGGCAGCGCTATGAACGGCTGGCGTGGTCTTACTTTGTTGACTCCTTGTTGGGCAACTTGGCGTGCTCATCGAGACTTGGGAGATGGTGACTGCAAGCAATCGATGTGCCGAAGTCTCACAATTCGATTAGAAAACCGCCCATGCTGAAGGAATGATGCTTTGCATACGGTTGGCTACTTGATCTTACCTGCACGTACATAAGACAGGGAAGAAGGCACTACGCCAATTTAACTTACCCAGCATTTTGGGTGTCGTTTGATTCTGGACGCTTACTGGGATGGGTTCAAGACACAGCTACACTGCTCTGTTTGTGACGAGCTCGGCTATGCGAAGAACTGGGTGAGAAGACGAGCCAAAAGAGGCCAGAAACACTGTGGCAGAGTGGTTTTAAAGAAATATGGAAAGACCACTGAAGTGTCAACGCCATTCTTCAAACCGACTTGGATAAGATAATCTACGTGCCATTACTTGTACAAGTGTGAAGGGTTGGGGGAATAGGTAAGTCGTAGACGGAATAGCGTTGCATGATTACGACCGGCTGGGAGGTCCATATCGGTGAAGATAATGCTCAAGTTTGATATCAATCTCGAAGCTCATTTTCTGGAAAACATGTTTGCTAACCGGTGAGCACCGTAACGAAGAAGCATCTGACTGGGTGGCGTCCAGACCAGGCCTGGGGACAGGGCCAACACTCGCTTCGCTTCCACATACAGTTCGAGTCACTGGACCCGAGCATGGGAGAAGCATTATCAAGAACGGGGATCCTCGGATGTGGAAGCTATTCAGATAAATTGTTCTGTAGAGAGCAAGTTGACCGGGCGCCTGAGTAAACATACTGGAAGATATGACGTTCAACACACAACATGAACATAGGAGCGAATAGCATAGGCTATGACCCAAAGACATCCCCAACTGCACCAATGTCATGGACTGGTCGTGTGATTTTGGACGGCAGTGCTACCTTGTGTGAATGTCTCTTGTCCACCAGCGCCATCGTCCCTTGCACTGGCTTGATGCCCCCCACAATTGGAAGGTCTATCCAATCCGAGTGTCGCTTCTGTATTCGATCGGTCCAGCCCAACCGAAGCGGTAGACTTTTCCACCATTCCCAAAAGACATCCGGACCCGAGGCGTTGGAAACCGCGCAGGCGAGCACGGCGACTTGTGAGTTGTCAATGCAGATATCTATATGCGGTTGGTTATATCACATCAAGCCACACGAGCAAGAGGCAGGTACCGGCTGTAGACGATGCCTGTAGCATCACAACTTCTCAACTGCAGTTGCAAACTGAAAGGTTAGTCTGTTATGTCTGGCAATGTTGCTTCGGTAAATCTAACCGCCAACAGAACCTACACCAGAAGACAAATTGTCCCAAATGCACCTTGACGCCGCAAGTTCCAACCAAAAAAGCACAACCAAATCAAATTCTTGCTTTCCGCCTCCTGAAAGTGAGATCAGGGTCGCTTCTATCCCCCGTCCAACACAGTTGTGGTGATACTCCCAAACGCCTTAATGATTATGCAGTTTTCTCTTGCCGGGTGATAAAGTAGTCGGCTTGACCGGATGGTTAATAATGAATTCTTGGAGCGCTCGGGCGTATTACATCCCCTGTTCCTCGTTGCGAGTCTGCATCTCGATCTTCTTGACGTTGCGGCCATCGGGAGTGTACCTAAACAGCAGTCAGCAACCGAATGCCTGCACAGAACATCCACGAGAACCTACTTGAGAAGCTTCTCGATGAGGTCGACGTGGGTCATGACCATGCGACGGCAGCAGTAGCGCTTGAGGCCGAGCTGATCCAGAGCATCACTAATCATCGTCTGTCAGTTATTGTTGATTGTATATCGAAAGTCGTTCGTAGATGTCGCATACCCGTCGGTGATCTCCTCGCCATCGATCAGCTGCAGGTATCTCTCCCAGAGATCGCCCACCACCTATGTGCCAAAGTCAGTAACCTTGTTGGACGGGTAAATGGCGGAGGAAGCGGGGCGCGTCGCGTCGCGTACCTTGCCGCACGAAAAGCACCGGATTGGAATAATCATTTTGTTGGCGAGTCGAACGACTGATAAAAGTTGTTTGGCGGGATGGCGATGTTCGCGGCAGATGAGCGACCAGTTTCTGGCGAGACGGTGGTGCAAGTTTGGTGGTAGTGACGGCGCAAGTTTCAGTTCTTTAACTTTGAAGGGCGATGGCGGCAACTTGAAAGTCGGAAGACAAGGCCCCAGCAAATTTGACTTTCTAGGGTCTGATTGGCCACTTCAGCCTTATCGCTGATAAGAAACCTGCCCCACATTAACTTTTCGAAGGGTACTCCGCCAAAATTTCTTTCGCTGTGAAGGACGCTGCGGACGTGAAGCTCGGTACGACAAATCGTGTGTTCCTTGCCCGACTTGCATCGTCATATTCACAACGACAAGATGGTGGAGCTACGCACCCCTCGCAAGACCTCGAAGGCGTCCAAGATGGATGCCAACGGCGAAACCGCCTCGCTGAAGAAGAGAAAGAGAGAGCCCAAGGAAGAGACGACCGCTTCGCAAAAAAGGCAACGATCGAAACCAAAGACCCAGCCCGCCGCCAATGGCACTGTTGACGATGCTGCCGACTCCCAAGAGAGCACCCTTTTCGAACAAACGACCAATGGCGATCTGGAACTTACGGATGCTTCGAATGGCTTGACGACGCGCGACACATCAGCATGGAAGGTGTCGAATCCTATGGGCGGCCGCATGCTCGACATCGATCCCATATTCTCCTTGGATGAACGGTTCGTTTGAGAGCAGTTCCCCAGGTAGGAGCTCTACTAATGCGATTCAGATACCTCCTTATCACCTACAACACATCAATTCAAGTATACTCTACCGAGGATTCCTTGCTCGTCAGGAGGATAACCCTTCCCGTCACCAAGCTCGACAGCGGCGCCGAGCTTTCCTCTCCTCATATCGTCGCGTCTGCGCTATCCGCCAGCGCACCCGATTTCCTCTGGGTCGCATGCTCAGATGGCCGTATCTGGCACCTCAACTGGACGACAGGCGAAGGCGCCGAGACACCCTTTACGATTGACGTCAAGAAGGTCCTCGACATGACCGTTGAGTCGGTCGACATTCGCGACAAGCAAGAAGATGTGCTCTTCGTCCTCCAGAAGTTCACCAAGTCCTCGGCGCAAATCGTGGCCTACGATCTCAAGGCCCTCCAGAAGAAGACCGGCAAGCTTATCCACACATACGACGAGAACCCGCAATTGCTCCGCTCCGCTGCTGGCGGCAGACTCATTGTCGCTGCCGCGAAGGAGACGTTACACATCGGCACACTCAAATCCAAGGGAAAGACTGTCAAGGGGGTCGACGACCTCGAATACGCGTTCCACTCTTTCGGCGTACCCGATCTGGTCACTTGCCTCGACATTCGTCCGACTCTCCAAACAACCAAGAAGGGTGGTGTAGAAATCCAGTTCGTCGATCTCGTCATCGGCTGCGCTCGCGGTGCTATCTACGTATATGGCGACCTTCTCTCGAAACTGCCCGGCAACGCGACCAAGGCGGGCCCCATTCAGCCTCGCAAGCTCCATTGGCACCGCAGGGCCGTCCACAGCGTCAAGTGGTCTGAAGATGGTAAGAATTCGTGAACTGTGTATAGGAAACCACCAAGTGCTGACAGTTTGACAGGTAACTATCTGATTTCTGGTGGTGCCGAAACCGTACTCGTTTTGTGGCAGTTGGATACCGGCAAGAGGGAGTTCTTGCCTCATCTTTCGGCAACCATTGAAAATATTGTTGTTTCGCCCAAGGGATCATCCTACGCTCTTCACCTCGACGATAACTCTGCTATGGTTCTCTCGACCGCTGAGATGAAGCCCACGACCTACGTTTCCGGTATTCAGTCTTTGGTTCTCAGCGACAAGCCATCGAAGGAGTCTCTGGTACGCCGCGTATGGAGATCCGTCGACGAAATCTCAACACCTTTGATTACTACCAGCAACCCTACCAACCCTTCACAACTATTCCTCTGCGTCGGCAATGGGCAGCAGGCCAGCTCGACAGGAAATGCGCCGTCCACACCACTTCTCCAAGTTTTCGACGTCTCCTCGTTCCAGGGAGTTGGCAAGCACCCCATTGCGCGCACCAACCCTACCGATGCCAACATGACAAGCCAGGGTGCGCCAATCATCGAGCCCAGAGTCACCAAGATGGCCTTCTCCCACGATGGGAAATGGCTTGCGTCGGTAGATGAGTGGCAGCCGCCTGAGAGGGACCTTGAGCCTTTGTTGACTGGCTCCAAGACCACATGCGAAGTTTCGCGGGAAAGGCGAGAGATCTATCTCAAGTTCTGGGAGGTTGAAGCGGAGGATAACTCTTTGCAGCTCGTTTCGCGCATCAACGAGGCACATTTCACAACAGAGTCGGAGACCATCCTGGATGTCGTCAGCGACCCTATTTCTTCCCGATTTGCTTCTCTTGGCACTGACGGTGTAGTGCGGTTCTGGAGCCCCAAGCTGCGCAGGAAAGACGGTCTGGCGACAACCGGGCCCGAAGGCCATCAGCTCCGGACATGGTCATGCTCTCGGGCTGTTGAGCTCCCTGCTTATGGGCAACTGGAAGAGGCGGTAGAAGTTTCTCCCAAGACCCCTCGCAGCGGCGCCCTTGCCTTCTCTGAGGACGGCTCTGTACTCTTTGCTGCCTACGGCCCTTCATCCGGAGCTGTTGTTGCCGTTATCGACACGGCTACCGGTGCTATCCGTGACACCATCCCTAACCTGTCTAGGGGTGAGATCCGGGGTATCGAGGCTCTCTCTTCGTCTCTGATCATCCTTTCGGAGGATCTTACGGTCTACGATATCGTGTCAGATGAGGTGCAGTACAGCTTTGCCCTGAAGGAGACTTCCGAGGCTGCCAAGCAGATGACCCATTTGGCGGTCAACAGCGAGTCCCGATCTTTTGCCGTTGCTGCCCCTATCCCCAACTCTAGCCAGGAGAAGTTGAAGAAGGGCGCAAAGTCGGAGCTCGTTGTCTTCTCAGTCGATGAGGAAGTGCCTCAACTGATTCAGACGTTCCCTCAGGTCATCACTGCGGTCCTCCCTTCTACCAACTCAGCTGGGTTCGTCGCAGTTGACTCTGCTGCCCAGATCTGGTCCATCACTGAAAGCGGAGAGCAGGCACGGATGCTTCAGCCCTTGGCGGATCTGAACATGGAGGAATCGAAGGCATTGGTAGCCCCAGTGGACCTTGCGATTGAGGACGGTGAGGCAAGCGACGAGGAGATGCACGATGCGGATGCGGATGTCGAGATGGAGGATGATGACTACGATGTTCATCAGGCTGTCGTCGCTCCCCAGAAGCTCGCCGAGATCTTCAATGCTGCGCCCGCCTTCGCTATGGCGCCCATTGAGGATATCTTCTACCAGGTCGCTGGACTGTTCTCCACGAGGCCGTCCACGATCTAAACTCGGGACGCATTCATTACGAGATCTCGCAACTCAAGTCGACCCGTCTTACGTGTGATGATTATGAGAAGGGCCGTACAAGTTGGTCCAGTCGCGCAAAGGAGGCGAAACCGATAGTTCGCAGGGTCTATAGGGTTCGGTGGACATCATCATTCATCGCTTCCCCTGCGCACCTGCTCATCATGCCTTTGAAAGCTCGAAGCTGAGGGCACTAGGAGTCATAAGGTCGTGGAGTCTGTCTGACCTTCGCGGCGCTGGATATGACCAAAATAGGAGGGAGCCAGAACACTGGCAGCCACATCAAAAACAGTGCCGAGCCGCCCCATCACCCAAATGGCAGCAAGGAAAAGGGTTTTTCGTCCTCAACATGGACGATGACGACGACGACGACGATAAGGAAGGCCGGAATCCTCGGCAGGTTTACGCGTGTAAGCCCGGGGACCCTTATCCTGGGGGCAGCCGCCCCGCATTAGTCTGGGCCGTTGCTGTGGGGCATTTACGGCACGCTCCGATGGCGACCGATTACGCCATTTTTAGACTCCTCCGATAATAGCATTGGGAACCTTAGGATCTCAGGTCATGTAGCTTAGAACTGGAGCTGTACACTGCAATTGCTTTGTGGTAATATAAAGAGCTAGATGTTTGTGTTGTTGGGAACTGTAACTTGATCAATTTTATATCGTGCAATTTCTTTGCATCAGTCCGTCCACCCACCAAAGCGTTGTGTTTCCAAACCTCGGAACTCCAACTACATCCCAGTTTCTGTGAGGGGAAGGGCATCCGATCTCTTTCAGCCGTTTTGATCAACATCAGCGCACCGTATCGAGGCACGTAGACTTTGGGACAGTTTGATCATCTGGGTCTACCTTCGACCATCACATCTTCCACTTTAACCAACTCATAACGCTTCTCCCAATGTCTTTCACGTCCATTCCAATCCTAGATCTGTCTCTGGCCAAGGACCCGGCTACCAAGCCGGCTTTCCTCGCAGACCTTCGGCACGCTCTTATGGAAGTGGGCTTCTTATATCTCAAGAATGTCGGTATTCCACAGGAGGTGTTTGACCAGGTCATCCGAGAAGGGAAGAGCTTCTTTGACATACCAGAAGAGGAAAAGTAAGTGTTCATTCACCATTACAATTCGAATCATGTATGTGGGCAGTTGTGAACATCAACTAAAATGCTATGTATGGCAAACAGATTCAAAATCGAAATGAAAAACGCCCCCTCCTTCCTCGGCTACTCCCGTCTCTCCGCCGAGATCACAGCCGGCGCCATCGACCACCGCGAACAGATCGACCTGTCCACCGAGCACCCCTTACCCTCACCCGGCGCGCCGTTGCACTACAACCTGCTAGCACCCAACCAGTGGCCGTCACCCGAGGTGCTCCCAACCTTCCGCCAGCTGTTCACCGATTACATGAAGAAGATGGGCGAGATCTCCATCTACTTCACCAGCCTGATCGCCGAGGCGATCGAGCTGCCCGCCGACGCGTTCAACAAGTACTTTGATAAAGACCAGCAGCACAAGCTGAAGATCGTCAAGTACCCGGATGTGGGCACGTTGGGCAAGGAAGGCAAGGAGGGAAATCAGGGCGTGGGGCCGCATAAGGATAGTAGTATGGTTTTTTTTTTTTTTTTTTTTTTTTTTTTCCCTTGCTCCGCTTTCCCCTTTCCTTCTCTCCTGTAAAGGCAGGCACGAACTAACCCCTTCTCCTTGTGACAAAGTGCTATCAAGCTACCTCCTCCAAGCCTCCCACCACCGCGGTCTCCAAGTCCAAAACATGCGCGGCGAATGGATCGACTGCCCGCCCCTCCCGGGAACCTTGGTCGTCGCCATCGGGCAAGGTCTCGAAGCCCTAACGCAGGGCGTCTGCGTGAGCACCACGCACCGGGTCCTCTCTCCTGCCGCGGGACAAGGCGCCCGCTTCTCCATCCCCTTTTTCCAGGGCGTGCGGGGTGACACCACCTTTGACGATTTGGAAAAAGTCGGCGTGGGGCAGGTGCCCGAGCACGTCAAGGAGCAGCGCAGAAGGGTGCTTCTTGAAGCGAATGGTGGCCAGAGGCTGGATGATGTCGAGTTTACGTTCCGCAAGGGAGGCGTGGCGACGACGCTCGGGGAGGCGACGCTGAGGAATCGCGTCAAGAGTCATCCGGATGTGGGGGAGAGGTGGTATCCGGAGATTTTGAAGAGTCTTGGGGAGGAGCGGGCTAGGGCGGCGAGTAGTTCTCCTGTGGGAGGAGCCGCGGTGGTGGTACCGGAGGGGAAGGCTGTTGAGGCGCATTAGTATTCTTCTAGGGTGTGTAGGATGGGAGGGAGGTTCGGGGGTAGCGAAGGAGGGCGGCAGACGGCTATATCCAGCGTTTTTACCGTCTGTCGGGCGCAAAAGGAATGAAGGCGTAAGGATTTATGTATGTTATGTAGTCCAGTTGCGTGTCATTGATTGTAATCTCTCGGAGCCTGTCGGGTCGGATCGGGGGTATGTTTCCTCTTCTTTTTATTAATGTCAAATTCATTATAATACGCCTTATCCCACCCGCTTGATGCATCGCCACTTGTATGTAAATCACTCCCGTCTGGTTGCTTAGGACGTTCTTTTTCTTATTTCCCGTCCGTCCAGCATTCTTTTTGTCTTGTCTTTTTGCTCCATTACTTTGATTCCAAATTCCCAGATATCGGATATCGGATCGTCACGGATCGTTGGTACGATGGAACTTGAATAATGCGCATTTATTTCTTGGGCTGCTCGACGAAGCCGGGGAAGCAGTCCGCCAGCGTCTTGCTGTGCTTGTTCTGAGCGTGCTCATCGAGACTGTGAGAGGGTCGAGGTTAGTTTGGGGTGTACGGGAGACAGAATCGGTAAGTAGGCATCTCGAGTCGTGACTGGGGAAATGGGACTGGTTCGAGGAGGAATTCGGGGGGGGGTTGCTTACGCCTTCGCGCGCGAGGTCGACAAGAAGGTGGCCCTGCAGGTCTGGCAAATGATGTTCATGGCAGCAGCGTTCTAGAGAATTTGTGTTAGTACACAGAACATCCGCTCTCCGGGGTCGACAAAAGGAATCTCGTCCGTAGAGTAGGGGATACGACGTACGGTCTTGAGCTGCGACTTAGGACCACCAGCAGCGTTCTTCAAATTGCGCTCGCGCTTTTGCGCAGCCTTGGCTCCCTATTTGATGAGAAAATCACTGTGTTAGTAGACGTTGTCCAGCAAGGTGGTGATCGTCGCGGATCGTGAAGTTTTCAGTAAACAAGGTATGTATGTAACGTACGTTACCGCCACCCATTTTGTCTGTGGTTTTGCTGGTTGGTAGAGAAAAGTGAGGTAGGTGGTAAAGCGAGGTGAAGAGCGGAAAAAAATGGCGGAGAAGGAAACGGAAGTGCAACGGAAACGGTCAGCGGCGAAGGTTAGCAAATATTCCCAGCCAGAACGTTGTCGGAATTTATCATGGGCCTCGTCCCATCAAAGTGGCGCGAGAAAAATACACCCTTTGGCGGCCTCGTAAGAGGTGTTTCAGCCGCTTTCGAAACTTTCACCCAGGTTGGCTTATCAATGTGTCCACCGCTTGCCTCTTAAGATACGTATGGTATGTTACAGAATATTACACGCTGTCACCAGCGGCAGTAACGCCGGCCTCCCGTGGTCGACAGCGACAGAGTCAGGTACTTGTAGAAGCAACGCACTGACCAAGGGCCAGTGCAGACAGTTCACTTCGATCTAGAACCCTTTGTTCCGTTGTCTGGTTACCTCTACAACTCCAAGTGGCTATCGACATCTCCCATATTCAAGTGGGAACAAGGCCACTCACTCACTCCTCTCCATTCTCTCCTCTTCTTGTAGCCTGAAAGGAAGGAAGCACGGGAGTGATGTGCCTGCAGTAGCAAGAGGCCGTCAACTGAAAGTCTTGGCAGCAGCATTGACGGATGATGCTCCCTTGAGTGACTGCAGGTATTTATTTACTTTCTTCTTTATTCAACCTCAACATCCCATCTCCCTGTCCAATCCTCTACCTGGCTCTCGGCCACCCGAGATTGCACATTACTTTCAGGGCCGCCTCCCGCTGCATGGATTGATCGATATCTGCCCGACGCCTCCGACGGGACCAGCCGTCAATATCTGTAAGTGACTTCACAAGTTCACTGGACTCAGGGGAGAGAGTTTATCCAGCCAGCCCCGTCCACCGCGGCATCTTCTACACAACGTCCGGTCTGCTCGTCATCAGAGACGAGACCGACAGTCTCTAGAAATGCCGCCGAAAGGCTCGCTTGCTCTCGTCTGCGCAAAAAGCTCGCCGTCTTCGTATTCACGGGACGAGCTCCCGATTTCCATGCCGTCGCATCGACCCAGACTCACCATGTCGCAAACGTGGACCGCTGAACATGCGCAATGGGACCTCGCTGAGACGGCCTTTCCAGAACCAGACCCTTGATCCGCTCCTGATCGACCCCCAAACTTCACAGAGTTCGAGCTGTCTGTCCACTTTTCACAAAGGCGGTTGCTGCAGTGTCACTTACAACTTCACTGTGACCCCCCTTCCGCGGCATCACAGCTTGGCCCGCAACTACGACAAGAGCCGCAATGGCCAAACCAACCCCCCTGTCTGCAGCCAAAATCCCCCTCACTGCGTTCAATGAAGTGCTCGGAAGATATCCCGCCTGCATCCAAGCCATCTCGCAGGACAAAGGAGGTATGGTGGCTTCGCTCAAAACCCTTTCCCCCCCTGGCTGTGGTCCCCTGTCTGATACACTAGAAATAGCAAAACCAGGCCAAAAGACTCTGGCAGAGTTAGATGAGTACCGCTATGACGAAGCAGTCAAAGCCTTTGGTCCCGAAAAGGCAGGCACTAAATCCATGGGGGTCGATGAGGTCAAGATTTTGGTTGAATGGAAGCTGTATGTTCCCTTTCAGATTCTTCTCCCTGCCACCCATCAGACATGCCTGAAACTTTGAGGGCATCATCTACCGTCTTCCTGCAAGCTGTCGGTAGAAGGAGAGCCGCAGCCGTTTTTAGTGGCTTGCGAACACCATCTCATTGAGCTCGCTTCAGATGCCCCCACAGGGCCACTGGTGAGCGAGATTACCGAAAGAAGCACTTACCTTCCTTCTGTCAAGCCGCTGACTTTGTTCTAGTCGTCATGGCAAGTTCCGCCCAACTCTGATGAAACTGGTCTCGTCCAATGATCCCGATTTGGTTCAGTCAACCGTACAAGATGCCATCAAGCAGTATCGGGACAAGTCAGACATATCCGGAGCCCTAGGCATCCTGACCAAGCTAAAAGGTATCGGCCCGGCTACTGCGTCATTGCTCCTGGCGGTGCATGATCCAGATCATGTTATCTTTTTCGCCGATGAGGCCTTCTACTGGCTCTGTGGAGGCGGTAAAAAGGTTCCCCTCAAGTATAACGTCAAGGAATACGACACCTTGTCCGAGAAATCTCGAGCGCTATCTCAACGGCTTGGCGTCAAAGCCATTGACATTGAGCGTGTAGCTTTCGTTCTTATGCGGCAAGAAAGTGGGGATGTAGCAGCCGCAAGTGCTACCCTTGATCCAGAGCCGTCGGTCAGCAGCGTCGCCAAGGTGACGCCCCCCAAGACCAAGAGGAAGACCACTGATGACGATACCAACGAGCCTGAGCGATCCGTGAGACGTTCGAAACGCACAAAACACTCTAGTTGAGAGTGTGAGCACAATAGGGGTCTCTGGTGTGTAGATAGCGCATGGACTTGAAGGCTAGGCCGGCTTCGGATCTCGGAACGGTCAGCAGTGCATTTCAATAGCTCGACGTTGTATGGGTGCAGGGAAGTTGTTCCCCTTTCAGCCCTGCCTTTATGTGCATTGCGATTAGGTACCCGTTCAAAGACGAGGTGTTGACACCAAGATACCCGAACCAAACTTTGGCTGCCAAATTGAAACACCATTGGGGGTGGGTTCGATGTTCGAAATTCCCCTATTGGTAAACGCTAGTAACGTCCCACGAGATGGGAGTGTTCGGCGTTCACGGCCCGTAGCTGCGGATGGGTCCCTGCTGTGGTCCCCTGCTCAAGTCGGTTCGCGAAGCGACCGGATGTGGATAAGGTTTTTGATAACATTACACTCTTGCTTCGACCAGAGATACTGCTGCCGGCGACATGTATCTCCATGAGCACACGATGGGAACAAGACAAGTGGGACTGTGGGCAGACAAGTACAGGAAGTACATTGTGCGGTCAAAAGACGGATATGCTTTCTGAATTCTTCGAGGATATCTTGACCGGTACAGTCTCATCTCTCTATATACCTACGAGTGTAGCACTTCTATTTCTCTCCTCCATGTCTCACATTCTTAAGCCACTTCTTCTCATCGTTCATCATGGCGATTTCTTTTCAATCATATCCTGTTACTGCAAACACAGTAGCCCATGTCTACTGGGAGAAAGAGGATGAAATGCAGTCATTTTCATGCCCCGATCCCGTTCCTCTGCCTCCACGATTCACACTCCTAAAAGAGAGACTAGCTTCAGGCAACGAAGCAGCACTTACATCATCATGGCGAAGATTACTACAAAGGCTGGAAGAAGAGGTTGACCGTATCTCCTCTCTGGGATCAAAGGTGGTTCCATCAATCGATTTTGCAAACATCACGAACCCCGAACACTCCCAAGCCTTTCTTAACCAACTACGAAGATCAGGGGTGGCTATCATTCGAAATGTGATTCCAAAGGAGACAGCAGCCAGCTGGAGACAAGAAGCAAGCGAATACCTCAGCCAGAACCCAGGTACACGAGCAGTGCCAACAAAAGACCCCCAGCTTTACGAACTATACTGGAGTCCAGCCCAGATCAAAGCCAGGGCGCATCCCAACGTCATAGCTGCACAGAAGTTCGCAATGGGAATCTGGGAGTCTAAAGACCCCAACGCTAAAGTCAGCACGAACTTTCCCATCACATATGCCGATCGTGTGCGGATACGAACTACCACGACAACAACGTGCGGCGGCGGTGATGAAATTAGACCCAGCCCTAGCGCCCATGTCGACAACGGCAGTGTCGAAAGATGGGAGCCAGATGGGTATGGTCGGGCAGGTACATACAAGGACATCTTCAATGGGCGTTGGGAGGATTATAATCCATGGGAGGTACGTATCAACCAACCTATGTCTCTCACATTTTCCCCAGACACTTTGGGACTCAGCTAACACCTCTTTCCCACTCAGAGCTCCTCCCGCGTCCAAGTAACCAGCGACCTCTACCAAGGCGCCGGGTCATGTTCCATCTTCCGCATGTTCCAAGGACTTTTAGCCTTGAGTCCCATCTCCCCTGACTCCGACGAGGACTCGAACTCAGACTCTGACTCGCTACAAGTGTGTCCCATGCCCCAGCTAGCCACGGCTTACTTTCTCCTACGACCATTCTTCTCCCCTTCGCCCTCCGCATCCCCAGCCTCCTCTTCCCCAAACCTAGTCCATTCCGAGCAATCCTCCTCCTTCTCCGTTGCTGGTGAAGGTGAAGAAGAAGACTGCCCTTCCGAAACCCCCTCCTGGCTCTTCGACCACCCTCCCAACTCCATCCTCCACGGCGCCCTCCCCAGCTACGCCCAAGACATCAACCCAACACTGCACCCGCACCTCCAGCTCGACCGCAGTCTGGTGACCATCCCCCGCTTGGAACCGGGTGATTACGTGATATGGCATCCGGATTTGATTCATGTTGTTGATGGACCGTGGCAGAGGCGGAAACGGCGGCAGCACCAAAACCAAAACCACCAACACCACCAGCAACAACGCCAGCCACAACAACACCACAGCATGACGACCACAAGGAGCAACAACCCCCCATACCCAAACCCAAACCCAAAAACAACCCAACAACAAACAATGTCCCTCTACCTCCCCGCCTGCCCCCTAACCCAAACCAACGCGCTCTACCTCTCCGGCCAGCGCAAGGCTTTTCTGTTAGGCAAGCCCGGCCCCGATTTCGGCGGGGGCGGCCAAGCGCTTTTCCACCAAGGGCACAAGAAGTACGGCACGTACGGTGGGTACGGGTATGGCGGGGTGGGGAGTACGGGGAATGGACTTGGACTCATCGGACTTGGTTTTAGGCATCATCTACGAAATAATAGTGGTGGTAGTGGTGCTGGCGCTGGTGCAGGTACTGGTGATGAAAGCAGCCATATGGGTCGGGCGGGAGTGCAAGATGTGAATGATGCGGGCGGGGATGATGGGTTGAGGACGATGGGGTTATTGCCGTGGGATGAGGAGGAGGCGCGGACGGATAGGGAGAGGGAGGTGCTGGGTATGGCTAATGGGATATTGTTTCCGAATTTGTATGATTATGGGTATGGGAGGGTATGAGAGAAGTGTTGGGAGGGGGGAGGGGGAAAAGTTGGCATTGTGGAATAGATATAGATATGACGGGACATGAAATACTGGGTAGACATAGATAGATCCGTGCCGATGCTAGGATGATAAAAGTGGCTTTGGATCCATTCTCTAAACCTCAAGCGCATGTTCCTGTCCGTAATATAGACCTGACATGACAGATATTGTCCTACGTCTGCTTCAACCTGGACCGTGTTTTGCTGCGACGGTGGTAACGCATGTTTCTGGTAGAAGATGAGACTGTTTCGTCTCTATGTGATACTAGTACCTGCCCAGGAGGCAGAGGACAGCTCGATGACAAGCAGCATCCCACGCACCACCAAGTGCTCCTCAGCCCTGAACTACGACCTACCGGGAGACAAGTATCATGACTGGGCTATAGATGATAGTTGCTGAGTGGAGTGATGGGCTGATGAACGGAAGCGGAGGCTGAAGGCTGAAGAATGTAGTAGTGTTTCGTCGACGAAGTGATCGAGCTCGTGAAGCAGACTGGAGTGGACGCCGTGGCAACGAGATTGATGTCGAGGTGTCGTGCGGGTTCGTCGTTGGGTTGTAGGGCGCTACGAGTAGGTGACGAGGGTGTGTATCGGTTCAGCGTAGAAGGGCGACAATTAACAAGCGAGTTCTTCCTCGCATCCCGAGCGCGCAGCCCAAGTTTGCAATGAAAGGGGTGGTGAAGCCTCGTCCTCAACAGAGTAATCGGAATCGAATTGTGCAGTTCCATTCTCCCCCTCGAAAGGGGAAGGACGGGCATGCACGCTGCGTATTGCACTCAAGTGATTTCATTCACAAGCTTCGTAATGGCCCTCCCAGAGGAAACACTGGAACTATCCCCACGATCGCAAGCGACCAGGGGAGGAGCCCAGCGCCCTGCTTTTCTGATGCCAATTACAGACGCGAGGATCGCGCGCAGACCGTTGCCGGCAGAGCCAAACACCAGGTGGGCCTGATGATTAAAAGGCTGAAGTGAAGCGATTTCTCCGAATTTCTCATATGCCTGGTAGAAAGATGTGAAAGACAGGCTTGCGCGAGTCTCTCCGTTCGTAGCATAGAAACGCAGCGTTGAAGAGGACGAGGCTTCACGAGGAGAAGAAAAAGGGAAAAAAAAAGAGAGGAAAGTGGAACAGTTCCAGAAAATTGTTTGGGGTCATAAAAAGGACTTGAGGCTCTGCCTTTGCGTCAGGCTCAGCCAATCAGATGCGTAGAATGTCCGAGAAGATCCACCTAGAATTGCGGATGCTGAGGCAACAGACAGCTGCTGCCGCCTGGGGCTTGGTGCACTGATTGCTTATCGATTTGATAGCAGTGGATGACCCTTGCCAATCCCGCGTCAAACGCCCGGGCTTGACAGTGGACTGTCCCCACCGATCTGAGAAATCGAGTCCCACTCACATCGTCAGTCAGAAATCGAGACAAAAAAAGACACAAAAAAGGCGCCGGCAAAGTTTTGTGAAAAGCGAGACATCATGGGTGTGGGCCACTGCTTGCGACCCTGGTCCTATCACGGGCTCATCCGTTATCCTTCCAGAATCCGGACATGCCTCCCCTGGAGGGGACAACGTTCCTAGGGACCGGCCAGACCGTCCCCCTGTTTCTGCGATAACCTCTCACGTTGCCGATTTCCCCAGGTTTGCCGCGCCAGAATGGGGAAAGGCGAGTGGGAAAAAAAAGCTGACATGGTGAGACGCTTGTTGGGTAGGGGTACCTAGGTGTATGTTTGATAATATGAAGATACAATCCGAATCATCTATCTCTTCACACTCCCGTCCCTCGTCCTTATCCATCGTTTTTCGTTTCTCGTTTGGTGCTTGCTTCACTTTCAACAAGTTCGTTTCCTTCTTCGCCGTGTCTCTCATTTGACTCTCTCGCTTTCTCCGCCTCCTACACGCCAGGCTACCTAACGCACTGCTCCCTCCTGACCTCCCTTGCTCGAGCGGAACAAATCAACAACAAGATGACGGTCTCGCCATCGCCTGAGGAGCTCCCTCATCTCTGGCAAAAGCCAGCCTACGCCACGCTTCTCGACGTCCTTCAGCGTCGCCGTCAAGAGCCTCGTATCTGGGGGCTCAAGGAGTCTCGGGAAGAGATCCTCAAGGCGCAGGCGGCCAGCATGGCGGAGGCGGCCTTCAACCGGCAAGAGATCATTTCGTTTCTCTCAAGCATCATCAAGAGCGGCTTGCCATGGCTTGACAGCGACGAGCAGCGGGAGGACATCTGGGAGGAGGCAAGCAGGCGGTTGTCGGAGAGGTGTGGTCGGACAGGTATGTGCAATGAGTTCGTAGAGGAAAAGGGACTATCACCTGGGAGGGACCCAAGGATTTAGGTTGTCCCTGGAGGATGGATTTGAGAGGTCTCCCCAAGTGATTGGATGAGTGAATGAATGGTAGTGTTGATTTGTGGTTTGTTCCGCATCTTGTAGCAATGGGCGAAATCATACGCCGATGGCCCTTCCGGGATGAGAACGGCGACTTCGACCTAGCCATTCGCGAGCCTCCCCTGACTGGTGATTCACTCGGCCTCAAAACCTGGGGATCATCATACGTCCTCGCCCAGCTTCTCCCGCAGTTTTCGGCTGGCCCCTTGGCGCATCTCTTTCTGGGAGACGAGCCCCTAGACGTGCTGGAGCTCGGGTCTGGCACCGGCCTCCTGGGTATAGCGGCCGCCTGTCTCTGGAAAGCCGACGTGGTCTTGACCGACCTGCCCAACATCATCCCCAACCTCTCGCACAACGCCGAGCTTAACCGGGAAACTGTGGAAGCGCACGGGGGAAGAGTAGAGGCGGCTGCGTTGACCTGGGGCAGCGATGACTATGAGGAGGACAGTCATCTGCGGTTTGGGGAAGGAAACCGCTACAAGGTCAGTTTGACGTTCATTCATTCACTAGACTGCATGGTGTTTTAACTCTAGGCAAAACCGTAACTGACACTTCTTCAACAGCTCGTCATAGTAGCAGATCCCCTCTACGATGACAACCACCCGGAACTCCTCTCCTCCGCCATCGATGCACAGCTCTCCCTTGAGAGTGACGCCAGACTGCTGGTGATGGTGCCTCAGAGAGACGAGACCACGAAGGCTTTGACCAAGTCTCTCCGTTCCAAACTAGAACAAGCAAGCAGTCCCCTGACGTTAGTCGAGGATGCTATCGCCTCCGGTGAGGACGATTGGGGCGAGGGAGAGACGGACGAGACAGATCGTGTTGGTTTCTGGTGGGGGATTTATCGGCGAGAGAAGCCTTCGTGGTAACCTTTTGGTTGCATGCTATGGTTGAGAGAGTGGCGAAGATCGAGAGACTTGACGCACTTTTGTTAGATTATAGACGTTAAGACACGACCTGATAGACGTAGACCTACTGGAGATATGTAGATAGATCGTTTTAGACTAGAGACTTTGTCTCGCGAGGCTACCTCTAGCGGATAAACAAATCAGGAAACAGCATCACAATAGACGGGGCGTGAAGGACTTGTCTTGCTTTCCTTAATACCGTGGTTAGACTCCCTGGGTCAGGTCGCACATCAGCATCTCGACATCTCGACACGGCACGACGGAACCCTTTCCAACATCTCGCACCGCGTGCGGTGCAACACAGGCGGAAGCAGTTCGAAACTCGAAACTGAATCGGGGTACCGCAAAGACTCGGGCCGTTCCTTTTCAACTTCCATGGAAATCTGGCATAGTCTGTAAACATACTGCAACATTCATGCCCGCCAGAAATTGTATGCAAGACGGTGATTTTGAATGTCCCAACCCTCCAGCCCCCTTGAAAAGACACGGGGAAAACACAGGGCACCAGAAGAATCGAATTTACAGTGCTCCGGGGTGGCAACACCCGGACGTCTCTCACTCTTTTTTGCGGGCATAAGATTCACATATTCGGGCATACGCATGTCTGATTATGCCAGGTTTCCTTGGAAGTTGAAAACGAACGGCCCAAGTCTTTGCGGTAATTAGTCAGGTTAGAGACTACCTGCCTGCCTCGCTACTGCTGCTGCTGCTGCTGCTGCTGCTGGATAATGCAATATGGTATATTGGTCTGCACCTGCGAGTTACTTGAGCGAACAGGTGCGTTGAGGCAATTGCCCAATCCCACTTTTAACCTGGAAGGCAAACTCTCACGGACTCTTTCCTACTGCACGCCAAATATCCAGTGAGCCACTTCCCTCCAGTCGCCGAGTGTCGCAGGTGTCGATACCTGCTTCTGGCGATCGAGCCGTGTGGGTGCAAGTCGTGATGCCATCAAACCACTTCCCACCTGGCAGTAATAGTCGGGCATCTGCACCTCCCTCCCTATGGTAGTTGCCCCCCTCCACTCGGGCTACTCAAGTCCCAAGGTGTATTTAGACTACGCTGCATCCCTCTCCTCCCCTCGATTCTTCTCTTCCTTTGGCACCCAACTGAACTTTCATCTAGTTGTATTGATAGTACACCATTATCATACGTCCACTCGCACACTGTTCCAACGATCCATCTTCAGACAGATTTTATCTTTTTCCTCACCAGGCAACCGTCCACAGAAGCTGGTAAGTACACTCTTCACTCTTGTGGCACCGCAAACTCCAAAATAACAAGGTGGCCTCCAGGAAATTCAAGACCGCTTCGAATACACACGCCGCTCCATCCAAGTCTCGCGTCAGCCCATCGCCCGCAAGTCTCTCACCAAGCTCGACCAAGACTTCCTTTTTGATCACGTCAAGGTTGTCGACGTCAACAAGCACTATCAGCCCGAGGCCTGCCCAGCTCGTGCCTCTGACTCGGATGTCATACTACACCCGTCGGTGAACTAGTAAGTACACTCTTCACTCTCATAGCACCGCAAACTCCAACCTAACAAGGTGACCTCCAGGAAACCCAAGACCCTTCAGAACGGCCACGGCTCTCCAACCCGCAAATGGCGCCTATAAACACCAGTACGGGTGTAGAGGTACCGACCTCCCAATGTCCCTCCCAATGTCCCTCCCAGGCTGCATTATATGCAGGCCTACCTTGGCAATCCTGGGTGGGTTTGGGTTGCCTCCTCTGGGTAGCGTTAGGCGTTGAGGAATTTCTGAGGGTCGAATACCAAAGAATCTGGATAAGAATCGTCAAAGAGTGGCCAAATTCGACAACGAGCCGCCAACACTTACGAAAAGTACTGTGTCAGTTTTTGTTCATCAGTTTAGTCTTTATTCTCACGTGGCTGGTTTGGAGAATTTTGTATTTGGTGAACATCATCAGAACAATTCTCAGTCAAGTTAACGCACCCCCCAACGCTACCGCTACACTACGTCAACAAGTACCAGAAATCACAAGAACGAATGTCGGTCCACCAAACGAACCACCAAACGCTTCCCCCATACCACTCCAACAAGTACCAAGAACAATTCCAACTCCTACACCGGAACCACCCCCTCCCTATGAAGAGAGAGAGAGGGAACCAGAGCCAGAGCGAGGCCCAGAGCGACAGCACCGGCACCACCCCCTCCCGATAAGGAGGGAGAGGGATTCGGAACCAGAGCGAGGCCCTCAACCGCAGAAGCTGAATTGAACTAGTAATACGAACAAGTTCACGCCGTACACCAAGGTCATAGTCACCAAGGACAAAGGAAACTTGAACAAGCAGTGTTCCAAGGGCAAGGCGGCAACGACCTTCCTCAGCCAGAATCCCGACAAAAAGGTCGTCGGCGGTGTTGGACCGTGCAGTGGAGAGTCCCAGATTCAGCACTAGAAGGACTGAACGGCCCCTGTTTCCAGATGCGTATGCCTTCGTCAATGTACTTTTCAAAGCTTGGAAGATCGCCATTTAATGATCTAATGGGAGGCACACAGCGCGAATTCAGGGAGAACAAAATGGAGAGATATGGAATCAATGGGGTGGATTAGTTACTTTTCCTTTCGTTTTGAGAGTTTTATCAGCGTTTTTCGGATTCTGGGAAGAATTCCTTCAGCACGGCATGTATCTGAGGATATGCTATATGCCTCTGACCGTCGTTACTGAGAGATGAGCGTAATGCCTTTTACTTCTCTGCGTCGATGTTTCTCAGAGTTTCCCTGTTCGGACAAAAACCTCGCTTGGTTGTTGCAAAGTCTTACGCCCCCACGAATCTGTGTCCCGCAGTCTCACTCTTCTTATGTCTGTAACTGATAGCTCCCATGTGGCAAAAGCTGCTTGGTGTCAAGAGGAAACGTGCTGCCTGGCTTTTGGGGAACAGCTGTTTTCTAGCAATTTTATGTGTTGGGATGCAACCAGCAAGGAAGAAAGTGATCAAGGGAAGTGGCCTACCAGTCAGGTACAATAGAAAGAAATGACACCGCAAACCCATTCATGTCAGACTGTCAGGTGTGAAATATCGCGTTGAATGTAACCTGACTTTAACGGAGCATCCAGTTGCCTCTACACACTCCAATGACACCCAAACTGATACACGTTCACGTAGTACACATTGTATAATGGAAAATGGAACTGTTTGGCAAGTGGCAACCCAGAGCAAAGCAAAGCGGAACGTGTCAAGAGAACATGTTCGATTGAAAAAAAAAAGAATGACATCGTCTAACAAAGTTACGACTGTCCTGGCAAACCACGTTGTCATTCCTGGTCCGGTTCTTGTCTCCGGTTTCTGAAATCTTTGAAACGAATTAAACGGCTTCAACTTCCCGGGTATCCCGCCTCTCTCGCGTGGTGTTAATGAAGACCATATATGGGATTTGTTCTTCGATCGTTATGCCATGTGTTCTTCCTATTTCCGTTTATTAGGTGATATACCCCAAGGTACCGTCTCTCGCTTAGTTCCGGGATCGTCTTCACTGGCGGAAGGTTTGTTCCCGTCCCTAACCTAAAAAGTTCATCCCCCTTCCGCCGAACGTACCTTACCTAGAAAAACCACCCCTGCTTCCCCACGATTTTCCCTCGTCTACATAGTATTGTGAGCACCGTAACGGTGGTAAAGTGCAAAGAAATCACACCCCGGCGCCGGATCGTAGCCTGAGGAGAAGCTTCGGGGAAGCCGAAGATGGCAGGAGGCAATCGCATGGAAGTTGCGGGAATATACCTCGACCTCCCTTTGAACTTCGTAGATGGAAATGGGCCTCACTTGGCCTCCGGAAACCCTAATAGAAATGCGGGGAGGGGGTGGGTGAGTGGGTGGGTGGGTGGCATTACATACCTCTAGCATGCGTGTCTTAGACTACTTCGCACGCTTTACATTGTGTGATTTACGTACCTGAATTGGTTTTCAGACTTGAAGCTGCTTATGGCGCCCCTTGCATACGTGTATGTCTTGTGCGTTTTCTTTTGGTCTCGTTGAAGCCGGTTCGTTATTCATTTGACAGATGAGAGATTCTGGCATTTCTTCATCTTGGTCTCCTCACGACGATGGTCGTGAAGTTCATAGCTTGACCGAGACCATCTTTCTTTTCCTCCATGGTGCACCGTAAACGTAGTACATTGGAGAGGTGACGACGGACGGGCATCAAAAGAAGTTCTTCGGCCATTCCCGGCTGTGTGTGATCAAACTGCAAGTCAGGCTCGTCGGGATGGTGGACGGAAGGAAGGGAGGACGAGGAAAGTGGAGGTCGTCGAATCGGGGTCTTTGCGGGGAGAAGACGTTCACCGGACTCGAACCGGATCTGCCGCCATGCCAGAAGTGGATTAGCGTGAGTTCCTACTTTTGGATTTGGGTGGGATCCATCCATCCCGGTGGACCACCACACACGATCTCGCCCTTGTCTCCACTTTCGTTCTTCCATCGTTCTCTTCGTCTTCGTCCTCCGACCGACTCCTCGCAGTTGAACGGGTCGTTGAACTTTGAATGCGGATGAAGTTGGCGGAACTCGCTGGATTCCGACAATCACACGGCTCAGTTTCTCATTGAAGCTCAACCTCATTACTCTCAAAAGCGGAATACAGATACTCAGACAAGTCCTCGGTCAAACTTGGAGCATGTGGCTGGGTTGCAGGCCCCCCAGCCGGCTAACAATGCCGTCGCATGGCTGGCTGAATGAGATTTCAGTTTCACTGGTGAGGCGGGCAGCAGCTTGCTGCTGAAGGTTACACATTCCTCTGTCGGACCTTACCTCTCGTACATACCGTACCTCGCCCAAGACAGGCAAGGTTAGGCCTTCAGTTTAGCTCGGTGTGTTGTCTCTTGTTCACCTGGCCGGACCTGCCTATGGTGAAACGGCACAAAAACAGGTATTGGTGGAAAAGAGACGACGGGCTTGTATCCCTCATTAACTTGAACAATGTCGCTGTGGCGGCCGGATGGTTTTTGTGTTCGAGTTTTGAGGCGTGGTGATGATTTTCCTCCCGAAGGGTTATCATTGTTGACGACACTTTAGGTTGCCCGGATACCCGGATACTTGAACCGGTTTCTCCTGCAGCTTCACTTCAGTGTTGCTGTGTACATAGGAGACAGGCCACACATATGAAATGACCGAACAGTGATACTTATACTGAACACTCCTGAAACCAGGTGCTTATGGTATACCGACATCAAGCTACCGGTCTATAAGCCCAGTTTGTGTCATGAGGTTCAGTCCAATATAAATTCTGGTACTCGAGTACCTACGATCACGGACTTTCAAGACTATAGAGGAGTTTACAGAATACACGCTGTAATCAACTCCGGTTCAGTCATCATTGAAAAACCCCCATCGAAAATAAATATTCAAAGAAACCTGAACCGAAATTCCATCTTCTCATCACCCGACAATAGCAGAACCACACTCTATTAGCCCAATCCATCCATCTATCTACCACACCTTTCCAATCCACTTACATACTTAGCCCCTCCCAAAGTGCCCATACATGTCCATCTCCCTCCACCAGAGACAGCCAAGCTAACAGACCCAAATCCAAAACACCAGCATTACCTACTTTACTTTCCCCCCAAGTCCCAAGTCCCAACGATCCTGCCGTCTCCCGAGACATCACTTCCGATCGAGACCTGACTTGATGTCAGGCAATGGCCTGGCGGGCACGTTCCTGGTTCCTCGGTTCGATCTGACTCTTTCCCTGATGTATACCCCTGTGAGGCTGCGCTCCTATACCTAGAGAGGGTGGTTACACGACGGTCTCTTTGGCTTCGGGTCCTTACTTTGGGGCTTGCCCTCCTGGCTTGGTTGCTTGCCGAGTTGAGCTGGGTTGTGTTTGGTTGAAATGGCATCAGTTCTTGTCCTTGATGCCAGGCGGCGATGACTACCTGAGATTGTGGAGAGAAAGGGGCAGAGAGAGAAGGGGGTTGGTTTTGAGGGGGTGGAGATGGTGTGATGGGTGATGAAGAAGTTGGGATGTGTAAGTTCTATGCTTGGGATGGGGGAGCGAAGGTGAGGTTGTGTGGGTATCTCGGTGGGAAGAAAGTATAGCACAAGTGTGTGAAGAAAGGTGGGAAGAGGGATGCAATGACTGTGGGTTTTGGTGTGATTAAAGATGAGAAGACGGAGAGAGTGAGACTGGGGTGGAAAAGAAGTAGTATGGTTGTTGTTGTTGTTGTCCTAGTTCTGCTATATGGACTAGATCAGCAGCGTCGGTTTACTCGGTTTGATGAACAGCGGTCCATGCTGAGATCAGGCCGTTCGATGGTTTAGCAAGTTGTTAGGTTAGGTAGTAGTCTAATCACGGTATCAAGGAAAGCAAGACAAGTCCTTCACGCGGTGCGAGATGTTGGAAAGGGTTCCGTTGTGCCGTGCCCTCGAGATGTCGAGATGCTGATGTGCGACCTGACCCAGGGAGCCAGGTGCCAGGTGCCCTATCGGCTCCCAAACCAAACTAAAGGGCTTAACTACTGTATACCTACGTAAGGTAAGTATGTTATGCTGTCCTGCTGCGCCGTACTTTTCCAGACGGGACACACGGCACACGGCACATGGGGTACACCGTCATCTTTGGTCCTTGTCCTTGGGTGTGCCGTGGGATTTTTCCGGATGACTGAATGGTTCGGCAAAGTCAAAGTCAAACCAGGGACTTGGGGATACACCAACTCGTGGGTCCTTACGTTAGCTCGTTGGGTAGAAATGTATGTAAGTGTATGTGGTGTAGCTAGAACTGCGTGGTTCTGCGTTCCTTGAGTTGGCAGGGGGTTCGCTTGTGTTGAGGTTGAGGTTGAGGTTGAGGTTGAGGTTGAGGTTGAGGTAGAGGTAGTTACGGCGCGCGCTTGTTTGGGTATCATCTCTCTCGCGAGCGACTCGGATCTCGGAATAACGATTTCTGGGAGAGTTTAGTATATAATAGTCGACATTGCCAGTCAGATACGCTCTTATAATGGTGTCCCAGCCCCAGGCACCGGTTGTGCAGCGATGGAGCATTGCTTAGGTTCAGGGTGGACACTTTCGCAAGCCAGGACTGACGTAATTACCTCTACCTACTGGCCATGTCCCTTTTATTTTGTACGAAGCGTGGCATAGGTAAGATGGGACAATTGGCGCAATAACGGCTGCTGGTTCAATTGCTTCATTCAGTTCCACTTCATGTCTTGTGTATCGTCGAGGTGCCGGCTGCTGCCGCTCGTTGCTCGTTGCTGAGAGTGGCTCATGCTGACCAGCCACTCCCTACACACATCATGTCTGCAGCCCTGAACCAAGTCTCGCCGCAACAGAGCGCCGCCAACCACTCTCTGATATTGGCGCTCGCGGGGGCCGTCTCATTTCTTCCAGCAGTGGTAATTCCTTCTGAAGAGAATTCACATCGCCGTTCGCGAAATGCTTCTCGGCACTCTCAGCAGTTGTGTTAGACCAATGGGATCTGGGTGTGCAACAGATCGGTGCCACGGCACAGTATGTCACTGGTCGGCGGGTACTTAGGGCCTGATCGGCTCGCGTGCAC